TAGAACAGTTTGGGAAACCCTGTCTCAGACTACATAGAACAGTTTGGGAAACCCTGTCTCAGACTACATAGAACAGTTTGGGAAACCCTGTCTCAGACTACATAGAACAGTTTGGGAAACCCTGTCTCAGACTACATAGAACAGTTTGGGAAACCCTGTCTCAGACTACATAGAACAGTTTGGGAAACCCTGTCTGAGACTATAGATCTGGCTGAAATTTGGATGGTAGGGTGATTTCAGGTGGTTCATAGTTGGATGCATCGGGGTAAATGTCGTCATACAGCTCCTCTAATGTCGCTGGCTGGAGATTGGGTAAACTCTGGACCTGCAATGGCAATTGTTTACATAAATAATATCACTTTGTAGAGGGCGTGTGTTAAACACTTATCATAAGTCTGAGTTTGCGTTTGTTTCTTGTTAAAGTATCCGTCCACATTTATATGGGTCCACATTTATATGGGTCCACATTTATATGGGTCCACATTTATATGGGTCCACATTTATATGGGTCCACATTTATATGGGTCCACATTTATATGGGTCCACATTTATATGGGTCCACATTTATATGGGTCCACATTTATATGGGTCCACATTTATATGGGTCCACATTTATATGGGTCCACATTTATATGGGTCCACATTTATATGGGTCCACATTTATATGGGTCCACATTTATATGGGTCCACATTTATATGGGTCCACATTTATATGACTCCATTCAAAAAGGTGTGTGGGGGGGGGAGGTGGAGGGTAATTTGAATGTTGTGATTTAGCAGGTACGGAAGGTGGACGGGTCCCATAACAACTGTCGGCGCACACATCAACTTTGCCGTCCAAAGAATCTTCACAGGTCGTTACTAAACTAAATGTTATTCAATTAAACAAGATCAAGAACAGAACATGGAAATTTTCCTAGCCGCCCACTGTAGCCACCCAACATATTCTGTTTCCTTCACTTATACTTTATAAGCGTAGGTCGTTGACACACAGAAACGACAAGATCATCCCATCGTCGCTTTAATATTGCTAACAATTTTTTTTTTAAATACATAAGCCCCATTTTTAGAGATGATGCTTTGATTTCTATTATCGGTATTTATAAATATAATTATATAAACTGGTAAACATCACGTCCCGCTTTGTCTATGTGGTTATTGGAGACTTTACCGTATTCGCCTTCACGCCACTGCAGGCCGAAGGCAGGGATCTTCCAATGCTGCAGAGGAAACTGAAGAACTCTCCAATCGTGATGGCAGAGAGGCCGAGCCAGAGACCAAGTTGTCCACCAAGATCACTGATCAAGCTCATGCTCTGGGCATAACGTGAAATGAAATAGTTATTGATTTGTTCTCATGCATGAAAGATTTTATATTAAAAATCGATAAATAAAGACCGCTTTTGGCTCTATGTCTCATGGGTACCGTATGAAAATAGTACTTATTTTAGTCGATAGTGAAGAACAAAATCGCAAGTTTAAAAGAAATGTAAAAAATTTGTAAGAAATACAATAATCCTAATTAATACTAAATTGCGCCTCCCATCCCTAAACCTTTGCCATAGTTTTTTTGATGCCATCCCGTTTATTATTATTTTATTTTTTTAGCTCTCTCACACATTGTCTTATTGGAACAAATCCAATTTGAAAAGTCTGAGGATTTGACAGTTAACTCAACTCACTTCATATCCTATCTGTTGCTCCACGTGTTGATATATTAGATCTTGGAAATAAATTTGAATTTTGGTAAACTCTTGGCTCCTGAAACAGAAGAAGAATGAAGATGCATCGGTTAGGGTCAAAGTTTCTGATCATAACATCCGAATATTGTCATGTTGCTGAGATGAGAATAGTTACGCATTCCAAATGATTAAAAAAAATTTTTTTTTAAATAAAAACAACACCAAAAATAGCTAAGATTAAGAGTTAGTTACAACTCGGGAAAAAAAAGTTGGATGGGGGTAAATGGAGTATTTCATTCAGACTAGCCTAGCGTATTAAACTATATGGAGTTGGAGTATTGCATTCAGTCTAGCCTAGTATGTTAACGTTTGTGACGTACTTCCTTCAGTCTAGGCTAGTGTATTAAAGTATATGGAATATTTCATTCAGACTAACTAGCTTGGTGTATTAAGGTATATGGAGTATATCATTCAGTCAAGCCTAATGTATTAAAGTTAAAGTATTAGTTCAATAATGAGTATTTCATTCAATCTAGCCTAGTGTATTAAAGTATATGGAGTATCTCATTCAGTCTAGCCTAGTATATTTTAGTACCGGTATGTGGAGTATTTCTTTCAGTCTAGCCTAGCGTATATGAAGTATTTCATTCAAACTAGCCTGGTGTATTAAAGTATATGGAATATATCATTCAGTCAAGCCTAATGATAGAGCACTTCAATATTGAGTAATTCATTCAGTCTAGCCTAGTGTATTAAAGTATATGGAGTATTTCACTCAGTCTAGCCTTGTGTATTAAAGTATATGGAGTATTTCACTCAGTCTAGCCTAGTGTATTAAAGTATATGGAGTATTTCACTCAGTCTAGCCTAGTGAGGCTTTGGTTTGTTTAAAATTAAAATACTTCAGCTTCGCACTTAAATTTTTATAAAATATATAATTTTGAAATTGATAATGAAAATAAGATTTAGTGTAATGATGATGGATTTGGTGTATAAGTATAAATACATTCATGTAAGACATATAAACACAATGCAGCCAGCGCTAATCAAGCAAACTTACGTGCTTTGGATATGCAAATATAGCGAGTTTGTCTGTTGAAGTTTCTTGTCCAGATAACTCTGATGGGGTATTAATGTGGGAAGAGTTACTCTTTTTATTTTAATTACCTTGCACAATTCCAGTAGAAAAAGAAAAAAGCATACACAAAGATAACATTTAAAAAAAAAAAAAAAGAAAGAAACACATGTTATTTTTAACAGGAAAACGGCAAAAAAAAAGAAAGGAAAAATTCTTGTACAGATAACTCTGATGGGGTATTAATGTGGGAAGAGTTACTCTTTTTATTTTAATTACCTTGCACAATTCCAGTAAAAAAAGAAAAAAGCATACACAAAGATAACATTTAAAAAAAAAAAAAAAGAAAGAAACACATGTTATTTTTAACAGGGAAACGGCTTTAAAGAAGAATGGAGAAACTTGAGTCAGGTTGGGAAAAAAATAATATTAATATTAGTGGTCTTATATAGCGCCGTACCCAAGCCTAGGACTAACTCACCGCGCTGTACATAAAAATATTAGCAAAAGAGACATAATCGTAACTTTAAAATAAAATACATTTATATAATAAGAACAGCTGTATAAACAACAAAACAAAAACAATTGAATATACACCCCACTCACCCCAGAACGTTTCCATGTCAAGCCATGGACGGCTACCCAGCAGCATTGTTTATCAGTCAGAGGGTTGGGGGGGGGGGGGGGGGGGGAATCAGTCGGAATAGTAGAGTTTAAAGAGATGTGTTTTGAAGGCTGTGATGGTCGGTATATTGCGGATGTGTAGTGGAAGAGAATTTCATTGTTTCGGGGGGCGCAGAAAGAGAAAGATCGTTCACCATATGTTTTAGTGCGTGTCTTGGGAACGGACAGAATAAGCGTGTCTGCGGAGGAGCGAAGCTGTCGAATGGGGGAGTAGACAGAAAGAAGTTCGGTTAGATAGGAAGGGCAGGAATCCGAGAAAAAGTTTTTTGATTTGTTGTGGTGTAAATATTTTTAAAAAAATAGTTTATTCCTTTGTTATTTTCTTGACGCTATGGGTCTATTTAATAAATAGTTAATGTTGGGTCAGGATCCTAGTCTAATCACGTTAATGTGAATGATCAATAATCAAGCCAACTTACGTCATATTTATTGGATGGCCAGACGGCTTGAGATATAGAAGTTTCGTAACGGGTTTCCCTGTCAAGAAAATTTATATGACTTTTGAATCAATTATAAATTATACATGCTATGTCTTTCTGTATGGTCTATCATTAATTGAAATATGCCAGGAGGCCAATTTAAAAAAGAAAGAAAGAAAGTTTTGTCCAGGTTTAAGCCCTAACTATTCCCTGTTGAATAAGTAATTATGAACGAACATTTGAATTCTGTTAACATGTATATAATATCATGGAAATTAATTTATCGGTGTTGCTCAGCGGTTCTCATCAATCGCCATTTGGCACCAGTGAGTCACAGCATAGTTCTTAAATAGACTCATCAAGAAAGCCAGGAACATCACACTCACTAAACATCCTATGAGGAAATATTTGAAGAGAAATTCTGTTGTAAAACTAAACATATATTTCATGATACATCCCACCCACTTCATCACAGATATCTAAGATCAGCTCGATCAGGGTGAATTATTTCTCCTAAAGTTAGGGCTGAAAGATATCAAAATTCTTTTTTTCCCAGGTCTGTACGAATTTACCACCGTGCTCCCGCCAGCACTGACCAAACATAAAATATCCCTTATTAAGTCATTATTGTCACAAAAGTAGTTCATTTTTGGCTGATTTCTACGCTAAAGAAATACTTTAGATGTCTTGTGTTTAAATTGTTAGAATTATAAAATATCGTCTTGGTTAAAATAAATATTTATTTATGTGCTTAAAATAAGTATGTACAATGTAATAAAAAAAAAAAACCCAAACATTTCCATTTATTGGGATCAATAAAAATTCTTAACTTATCTTTAATTTACAAAAATATATTATTATAGTAATATAAGGTCGACAAAGGACAAACGCTGAAATAATTCCTGTACATACTGGCACGGCTGTGGACAAAGCTGATCACAAAGCTTGTAACGCTCTTGAGCCATCACAGGCAGCATGTCCACACAGACTTCTGTGACAAGATTTGTTCATGAGAAATATTTGATAACTCGGTTATCTAAACCAAAAATTAAAAAAAAATCAATAAAAATAGGGGAGAAGGCCGATTTCCCCGGTTTGGACTATAACCTAATAACTGATTACAATTGGGGATCAGCTAGTCATTCGTGTTGGACATAAAAACGCTTTAACTGAACTTCATTGGAGCCTGCATGTACGTTTTGATGGGAATAGGCGCACTGACGCCAGCTGCTACAACTTGCATTCTGATTTATGCAAGCCTGTGCAATCTGTAATTCAATAACTCAATTTCAAACAATTGTCTTTTCAAAAATTAGCCACAATTTTTTGCTTATTAACACATCAGCAAATAAATTGCAAATAGATGTTACCGGTATCTATTTATGAAGTTAAATATAAGGTTGGGCTTTCCATATTTGAACATATAACAAAATATTAATTACAAGTAGGCCTACTTCATAAAGTACTGAATGCGTCATTTCACGTAGGCTACATACCATCTGATGGATCAGTCAAGTTGTCTCTTCACGTAGGCTACATACCATCTGATGGATCAGTCAAGTAGTCACTTCACGTGGGTTACATACCATCTAATGGATGAGTCAAGTTTTCACTTGACGTAGGCTACATACCATCTAATGGATCAGTCAAGTTGTCACTTCAAGTAGGCTACATACCATCTGATGGATCAGTCAAGTTGTCAATTCAAGTAGGCTACATATCATCTGATGGATCAGTCAAGTTGTCGCTTAACGTAGGCTGCATACCATCTAATGGATCAGCCAAGTTGTCAATTCAAGTAGGCTACATACCATCTGATGGATCAGTCAAGTTGTCACTTCACGTAGGCTACATACCATCTAATGGATCAGTCAAGTTGTCGGTTAACGTAGGCTGCATACCATCTAATGGATTAGTCAAGTTGTCACTTCACGTAGGCTACATACCATCTAATGGATCAGTCAAGTTGTCACTTCATGTAGGTTACATACCATCTAATGGATCGGTCAAGTTGCAGACGGTCACATTTTCCACCAAGAAGAAGAACGGCACCGCACAGTTGCAGTACTCAATGATGATGTCCTGGTAGCATGACTTGAGACAGGACAGCTTGCTGAGGCTGGTGCCGAGGTGCTTCACATAGTAGTCTGTGGTCTTCGGGGTGTCTCCGCATTCTCCGTGGGGTGGGGGAAGACGCGCAAAGGAATGCTTGTTAAAAGAAAGAAAAAATTATACACACATTTGATGAAATATTCGAAATGTATTCGGCACAATTGTGACCTTGCCAAAAAGATCACATGAAATTAACAATGGGTATAGTCTCTATTATGTTATAACAATGAACGGAATTATAAAAATCCGATGTATTTTTTACTTCAAAATATTTGACTTTGCAAATTTGCACGTAATTGCATCACATTTCCACCCGCGCCTACACAAAAAAATAAAAATAAAATAATAATAATAATAAGAAGAAGAAGAAGAAAATAAGAATCAAACAAAAGGAGATGCTTCTCTCTCCTGACATTTGAATGGGTGAGAAGGTACGTGTTCGGACCTGTTTGATGCCGATGGACGTTGCCCGCCCTGGCATGACGTCAATACCCTCGTCCTCTGGGAAAGGAATCGATCCCTTCTTGTGTATGACGACACGAGCGCCTGCCTCGGGGGCCAGATTAGCAACGTACTCCCCTTGGTTGATGAACAGTTCAAGTATCAAACCTGGAAATAAGAGTGGTGCCCCCCTCTCCCCCGTAAGGGGGAGGGTTTGAGATGGGGGGGGGCGTGGAGTGAGCTGATTGGTTTGGGCTCAATTCCTCATTTCCAAACGAAGTTTAATGAGGGTTGTGTTTTTTTTTTATTAATTTTTATTTTGAATGTTCAAGCTTTTATAGCTTTTAACTTACTATGGCTATTGGCCGTAACCGTTTTGTTCTGGGTCATGGTTGACAATTTTTTTTTTTTTTAATCTCACCCGAGAGGGAAATTGTGTTCGTAGCTTTCTTACGCTAGACATTTAAATATTTAAATAAAAAAAATTATCAGAAGTATTAAACTTTCGCAGGAACCATTCATATTATTTTGTGATAAAAGCAGAAAAATATTAAGAATATTTTTCTGCCACATAATTCACATATAATGAAATCTTTAGTGTTACAATAGTTATATTGCACTCATGAAAATGGAAAAGTTCGTTCTCTTTTGTTGTTGTTTTTGTATCAACAAAGTATTTGTTGCGTTTCATTTGAATCAACCGACAGGTGTTTGTTTTTTCAAACCTACTCACCGTATGCCGGACCCGGAAACTTGGTCGTTGGTGAACTTTCCTGCAGTCCTGAATTAAAGGTGTAGCAGTTGCCGTACTTGTGGTTGTGGAAGTAAGTGAAGTTCCTGGACGGGGCACAACGAAACAGCGCCATGGGAATGGTACATCACGCAAAGAGAATACTTGCCAACGGTCATAATGTAGCGGTACTTGCATACAGTTATAATGAAGCAGTACTTACATACAGTCTTAATGTAGCAGTACTTGCGTAAAGTCATAATGAAACAGTACTTGCGTACAGCCACAATAAAGCAGTACTTGCATACGGTAATAATGAAGCAGTATTTGCATACTGCCATAATGTAGCAGTACTTGCATACAGCCATAATGAAACAGATACACGCTGTACTAAAGAGAAGGTTCAATACAATAGGATTGATTGTTACTATGACAAAATATAAATCAAGTCCAGATATCATAATTGGTGCATTAATTGCTTTGCAAATGAATTCATGGTGAAAATACGAGCTCTAATTTCAGAATTGTTAATTGTGACGTCATTTCTGTGAATAGTTTTTGAACATGACTGGTATCAAGTCAGTGAGGATATGCATCAGTGTTTAGGAGTGACATCGCTAGTTATTATTATTACAAATTTTAACTGCAAATATATAATAATAATAATAATAATAATAATAATAAAGATTATTTGAAAAGCACGCTTCATCCCCAAAGGCTCGAAGCGCGGTGCATACCACATTAAAGTACAAAATGCAACATTACAAAAACTACATACGAGAATACCCAATCTAAGTCTTTCATACCTTGCAACCATAAACAGAATAGGCCAATATACATCTAGGAGATAATAGCCATATGGACAACATCACATGCCAAATGGAGGATCCGTTTTTATTAAAAGTGTGGGGGAAAAAAATGTTTAAAATATTAATGCTATTTATACCAGGGTATGTCACTCTAATCTATGGTTTGTGCATTGTATAGCATACGAATTGTCTGACCAAGTTTCATTCCAGTTTTTTCAAAAGTAAAATGCAACTAAAGTTTAAAATAAAATTTTGAAATTCTAAATGTCTTTACTGAATTCTTCTTCTTCTTTATTTTGAGGGCCCACGATCAATGAATTGATCATTCTGGCTCCTATGTAGAGCTTATAAATGTAGAGCTTATAAATGTAGAGCTTATAAATGTAGAGCTTATAAATGTAGAGCTTATAAATGTAGAGCTTATAAATGTAGAGCTTATAAAATAAACGCGTGGTTTATTACATAAATGAAATTGTAATGAAGAAATAAAGCAAAAAAAAAAAAAAAAGAAGAAGGCTATCAATATCAAAATTTCTTATATAAATTTTTTAACACTGTCTCATCTGTTAATAAAATATTATTTTTTCGCTAGCACCCCATTAAATAACCCCTCATTCGTTTGAAAAAACTGAATTATGCATACAACCATGCATTTGATAAAAAAAGATGCATTTTGCTCGAATTCTAATTCCCCCCCCCCCCCCTATAAATTTTTTTACACTTTCTCATCTTTTAATAAAATATTATTTTTTCGCCAGCCCCCCATTAAATAACCCCTCATTCGTTTGAAAAAACTGAATTATGCATACAACCCTGCATTTTATAAAAAAAGATGCATTTTGCTCGAATTCTAATTCCCCCCCCCCCCCAACTGCCTTAATTATTGTAAACCCTGCTTACTTAGGGGAGCATTGGTAGCCCCCAAACCGACAGGACGCGATGAAATCTTCCTTGACATTGCCCGAGCTCTCTACGATCTTCGGGTCAAGCTGTGCTGTTATGTAGGCGTACGTCATGGCGGCCACATACTCGTCGTCTTTGATTTCGTAGAAACTGTGTCCAAAAACATGATCGTTTATCTCACAATTTAGAATAACATTTCGTTGAATTTAAGTATTGTAAGTACATTTTTAAAATTTCGATCCATATAGAGCAGGCCTGCACAACATACGGCCCGCGGGCCGCATGTGGCCCGCAAGCACCCACTTGGCGGCCCGCAAGCACCCACTTGGCGGCCCGCAAGCACCCACTTGGCGGCCCGCAAGCACCCACTTGGCGGCCCGCGACGTAACGAAATATACTTTATTATTATTGTTATTATTTTCTTAATAGCTTTCCCCCCCCCCCTTGTCTTATTATCTTTTGGCCGGCACAAGTTTTTTATACGGCCCGAATAACTTTTTTTTAAAAAGTATTAAGGCCCGCTTTACATTTTGAGTTGTGCAGGCCTGATATAGAGAATAGACCATATGTTCCCAACTAAGGATTTAAGTCGTAACCAACCCTCATTTCATGAAACCAAGTGACCCGCGACAACAATACATTTCGACAAGATTTGTTTTCTTTAAAGGGTGAAGTAAACGCACATCGGACAAAAACAAATTCAGTACTGAGTCATTTAATTTAATATAATTTAAACGTTCAGTTTTCATGTAATGACTATCATTCTGTGTCCCTATCTTGATGGCAACTGTTTTCATCGCGGTCTTAGTGACCAGCTATATTGAGATACAATCAGTCATAAGATTTACAGTCACCAACCTGGACTGCATGCTGGCGTTGGTGTCCAGCATTGTCCACTTGGTGAAGTTTGAGTTACTCAGCACTGTTGACCAGTCAACGGTCGTGTTGACGGACGGTTTCCTCGCGCCTCTCTTGTTTCTGATGAGGTCAGGGATGTCTCCGTCATCTAGGAAGCGACGGGTATACACATTTTCTTCAAGGAAGGAATACAAGTTTTCATGGCTTACTGTGCACTCTGGGCACTTTGGCGGGTTTGTTACAGAAATCACCGCTCCTTTGACAAATACTATATTATTATACTAATTGCACAACACTGAACACATTCTAGGAAAGAACTTGGTTTTGTAGCAGCCTTACCTATTTCAGGGGAAATAAAATGTAAATGAATGGCATCTTCTTAAACAAAATACACATTCGTTTAACAAACAACTGCTTTTGATGTACAATGCCTTTAGGGGAGCTGCTGCTGCTGCCCATTGTCATTAGTTTTGTTAATTACCAATGGTGATCTATAGGAAGTGGCTTAGGGAGAGGGGGGGGGGGGTTCCACCCCAGGAGTGATTTTTCTCTATATATAGACGGGCGGATTTTCGTGGCCCAGTGCAGAGTTTTTTCTGGAAAGGCTTGGGGGGGGGGGGG